AAGGCTGGCCGGCCTCCCACAATGCTCGGCTCGCCTGTCGACCAACTCGGAGCCGATAACCCACGACGGCGATGTGCGTATCCACGAGGGGTACCACTCCAGGCGCGTAACGAGGCGCCATCGTGCGTCGGTCTGGCACGTACATGTTGGATCTTCCGAGTTTCTCGTCTCCCATAGGATAACGGTGCATGTACGCATCTTGACCCGGGGAATACCACCGGCGTTCCGGTTCACAGGCCTCGGAATTAATCTACGTAACTTAATTGCCTGTTGCCACGTCGTCGTTCCGAGCATCTCTTCTCCTACTTTGCGTGTGTTCAGGCAGGGTTCGCAGGCCTCGGAGTCTAAATTGCTTGTTGCCACCACGTCGGAATTCCGAGTGCGGTCCTTTCTGTGACAACTGATCGATGTTTCCATCGTTTGGATTTTCATCTCGCGCGCGCAGGCTCTACAGTATCGCACCTCCCCAAATCCCCCACCAACCCCGCCTTTTCTCCTTCCACACGAACTCGGCATCCCTCCGCATCTGTTCTCCCATGCAATCAACGCTCGCCGTTCACTGTTCACTGTCCAGGTTTCCGAAATCCTGCCGTCGGCTTCCGGCTTCTTTCCCTCGTTTCTGTGCCTATATACATATGTATAGTCAGTCGACTGCGGCTTGCTAGTTGACCGGGGATCGATACCACATAGGAGAAGGACGCTCGGCCTCCCACTCCCACGATGCCTATCGACCAACTCGAAGCCGATACCATACCCACGACGGCGGTACGAGGATACGAGCCCAGACCTGTAACGAGCCGTCGGGCAGGCGTTGGATCTATGTAGTACCAAAGCGACACGGTCGTCTTGGATATTTGTCTCCGTCGCTTGTAGGTGCGCAGCGACACGAATTCATCCTGCTGTTCCTGCCTCTTGTTTTTCGCACCGCGCAGGCGATGGGTCCCGCATTTTCCGGATCCGAGCCTCTGTTCTCCTACTTATGGATGGATGGATAGATGGATGTGTGTTCAGGTTCACAGGCCTCGGAATTAATCTATGTAACTTAATTGCTTGTTGCCACATCGTCGTTCCGCGCGGATCCGAGCCTCTGTTCTCCCACTTTTGCGTGTTCAGGTTCACAGGCCTCGGAATCTAAATTGCTTGTTGCCACGTCAGGTCGTTCTGTGGCACTGATCGATGTTCCCATCGTTTGGTTCTTTTCCATTTTTCGTCCCGCGGGGGGGGGCTATGGATGACTCGAAGGGTGTTGTGGGTTGTGGCGCGCTATGCTATGTATCTGGGGATGGCCATCTCGGCATCGCATCGAGTTGAAGGTTTACTAGTCTTCCACGTACTGATAAATTCATACAGGACCCTTGAGGAAAAGAACATCGACTCTCGGGAAACGCATTCCGGGATCCTGTGCTGGTTCCTCAGTATAGACAGGTGGGACAGATGGTTGATATGAGCTTGCTGTACAAGGAAACAAGACGAGATTAGGTTCGTTGATAATGAGAGAGATTGCACAGGAATATTACAGCGGAAGATTACCGGAACATTGAGCTGTAGAGCTGCGCGTTGCAAACACGTTTAGAACGCATGTGTGGTGACAGCAGAGGACAACAGGCCGGGCTTAGGGTTCGCACGTGACTTACACGAGGCGTAAACAAAAAGGTTCCGTGCGTTGAACGGGTACTACGATCCTTAATGCTGCTACGATGACGACCAACACCCTCCCTCTGACGCGTCCGATGCTGGAGACGCTCCTCAAGTACCTGTGCGACCAGCTCTCCGACCCTGGCTCGCCATTCCACATCCCCTCCCTGCTACTCGTCATCCACGGCGGCGCCGCAATGCTCCTGCACCCCTCCTACCAAACGATCCCGACCGCCCGGCAGAGCACCCTCGACGTCGACTACCTCGCCCAGCCCCTCCCCCCCGCCGTCCGCGCTACGCTCACCCGCGCGATCACGGAGACCTCCCGCGCGTTCCCCGGGCTCGGCGCGGACTGGATGAACGCCGACGCGGACGTGGCGCTCCCGCCGGGCGTGTGGGAGGGGAGCACGCACGCGGGGAACCTCGGGCAGAACACGGTGTTCGAAAGGGGGCGCGTGCGGGTGGTGAGCGTGGCGCCGGGGTGGGCGGTGGGGCTGAAGCTGATGCGCTACGAGAAGTACGACGCGGGGGACGTGGTGGTGATCCTGCTGAACGGGCTGCGGGTGCAGCGCGGGGGGCGGTGGACGCGGGAGATCGTGGAGGCGTGGGTAAGGGCGGAGTGTGCGACGATGGGGTACGGTGCGTGGCCCGCGTGGAAGCTGGCGGAGATGCGCGTGCGGATTGGGGATGCGGTGCGGTTGGTGGAGGAGTGGTTGGGGGAGCATCCGGGTGTGTTGGGGGCGGGGGCGGGGGCGGGGACGAAGACGGTTGTGAGGCAGGCGAGTGTGATGTCGGTGCGGGAGGAGGCGGAGATTAGGGAGTGGGAGAGGAGGTTGAGGAGGGAGAGGGAGAGGGAGGGGGAGGGGGCCAAGCCGAGGGGGAGGTATTTGTTGGGGCAGTGGGTCGAGCCGGACGATTCGGATGAGGATGAGGAGTCAGATTCGGATACGTCGACGGATGACGAGTCGCCGACGCCGTCTGGGTCGACGACAGGCTCGTACTACCCCGATCAACACCAACCGAGTTGTCCCTATTCTGCACCGCCGACGCTGACTAGCCCGTATCAACCACCGAGTCAACATCAATCTATCCATCCATTGACCCAAACCAGTTCGCACACTCCGTACCAGCCACCACCATATTCTACACCACAGATCCAAACCAGCCCGTACCCGCCGCCGCCTCTGCTAAGCCCGTACCAACCACCGAGTCAACATCCATATTCTACACCGCAGACCCAAACGAGCCCATATCAGCTCCCGCCTCAGGCAAGCCCGTACCAGCCACCAAATCAACGTCTGTACGCCCCGCAATCGAGCCCTTACATCCCCCCTGCTGCCGACTTCTCCCCGCTACCAAACCCACCACCCCCCTCAAAGACCCCCGCCCCGCCCCAATTCTCCCCACACTTCGCAGCCCCGATCTACGCACCTCCCAACCCAGGCGCCCTGCTCTCGCCTCTGAACTACAACATCAACATGCCGTTCTCGACGCCCTGGATCGGCGCTACGAATACGAATATGCTAGGCGCGCGTGCGGGATGGTGATCCGTTCTTGACGTTGTTTTTTTTTGGATATTTTCTTGTATTGCTTTCGTATCAACTCACTGTACTGCTACCATCTAAATTAATATTCGTGTTAATGAGTCCTAAAAAGGAAACATCCCGAAGTTGTGCTCGTACCACCATCTCGCCCATGCTCGCCACGCCGGACACCTCAATGTCATTCTCGCTCGACTCGCCCGACGTCAAGCTTCAACTCGACCTCGATCCAGCGCTGCCAGACTCGTCCTCTCCCGACCTCCGCTCACTGCTGCTCTCGATCCCACCAGAGATCCTCCCCAATGCTCTCCGTCTCCTCACAGCCTGGCGACTCCAACAGCCGCGTCCAGCGCTACCCACCCCTTCCGTACTCACGGCGGAGATGGACTGTTGTTCCCAGCCGGGACGGCGGATCCGATGGATCTCGAAGGAGTATCACGCGGAGCTGGAAAGGGAGAGCACCATCACAGACTACCACGAACACGATACTTATAGCCAACACTCCTCCCATCTTGATTCCTCCTCCTCCCAACTCCGTCGTGACTGCCACGTCCCTCTATCAAATCCAACACCCACCATCAAGCCGGGACCCACAACAGCGATATCCACGGCGATACCCACCACCAAGACGATATCCACCACGCTCACGCGTAAATCGATATCCGCACCCACCAGAGCGCCGACATCCACCACCAAGGGCACGTCCAGGCCCGTGGCGAAATCGAAATCGAAGGCTAATCCGAGAGCCGATGCGGAGAACGTCCCACCTTTGCACGTCCCAGTGCAACCTCGCAGGCGTCCCGCGGCAGGGAAGAGCAGGATACCAGCTCCCGCTCGCACGGTTTTCGGGTCGCACAATGCTTGAAGAAAACTAGCCTCGCCGAAGCGTCGTCTGACTATATGCGCGCCCGCCTCCTTCTCACTTCCCAGCTCTGCTGTTCTCGCGCTTCTCTGTCTGTCTTATCCCGCGACACACCTCTCTTTCTGGATACTTGTGGCTAAAGACTTGCTCACCTCGTCCAGTTCTCTCAATCGTCTCCGTTCTTGGCGTCGTAAATTGTTGTTCCTGTTTTCGCAATGGAAAAAGTATCATAATACGCTATGTAATTGTATACGTATCTCACTGTGTGAAGACATCACCCTCACATCTTCATCTTCATGTTCTTTTACACATTTCTCTTTCTCCGAACGTATAGTCCATCGAACCTCACTCTGAAGCTATATCTGTATGTCATAAATAAAATAACAACGCAAAAGCACTACCCATATATCACGCAAGTTATCTCGACGAAATCCAGGATGAGTAACCAAACCTGTGGGGTCACGACTAGGGTTGCGCACGAAACCCCCAGTTTTGATACACCCCGGTTTCGGACCGGTAAGTTACCGGTAAGAAACTGGTAAGAAACCACAGGTCAGTGGAGCATATTTCATTGAGGTAACTTACCGACCACGTGACAATATTACCACCCATCTTTTTATGATTTCACTTCGCAGAGCAGTAATAAGTAAGAAGACGTAGCCAGAGTGTTCCGATGGGTATTGGGACAGAATTCATAAGTATTTGAGGTATGACAATGGGGCAGCGTAGCGTCACGGCGTCGTAGAGAAGAAGTTGGAAAAATGACTCCGCGGTGGTCACGTGAATGGTCACATGACGGGTAAGAAACTGTAAATTACCGTACCGGTAGGACCCCCAAGGCAGGGTGGGTACAAAACGGTATCAAACCCCCCCCTTGGAGGTTTCGTGCGCAGCCCTACTGTGGGGTCACGACGTATATTCAACTTGTATTCTAAAAGAATACGAGTTCATGTACGAGTACCTTCGGATACGGGAAATCGAACCCCGAGCTGCCGCGCTATCCTAATGCTTGGTTAATGAGAGGCGGCAATGTTAGCCGTTACACCATATCCGATCAATGGTCTTTTTATTTATAGCATTTTATTTCCTTATTCCAATTTTCATATCCTCCACTGAGTATACTTTACCGGGTGTCGTCGGGTGTTACAATGTTACAATTAAAGAACCGCCTACGATTAAGAGCGAACGCCCGACGGGCCAAGTTATTGAGCAAGTGTAAGTTAACAATGAATAATAATAAAAATATCTGTATAAGGACGATGCAGGCCAGCACATTAAACCCTTCCGGAGAAAACCTCTGTGAGGACAAAACAACTGGTAAGGAAAGCTACCGGCAGTCGGTATTGTGTAGATTAGAAAGGAAAAAAAAAGACAAGGAGCAGGCTAGTGGAATCTTGGTGGATATTCGTCGCAAGAAGTCTGCATAGATGTGCCCTGTTAATCGTACAACTACGAGATACCACGCTGAATGGATATTACGCAATATTGTACATGCGTGTATGGAAGAAACCTAAATGTGAGCGTTACATGAAGAAACGAAAGAAACTAGGAAACGGCACCATGGTTATGCGTTACTGTTTCCGAAATAAGAAACCAGGCCATGAACGCTATTGGTGCAATAGCACTAGAGTGGCTTAATTAGTTATTGTGGACATGATTAGCACACAATTACTGACCTCATACGAATTTATTCCTGATTTATTCTTGATTTTTCCGAATTTTTTATAACATTGTAACGAAGAAACTTGGAAACCAAGCAGGTGTTACACGTTACATGGGATGAAATAAGCAACGCAACGACCCCTGCATTACGCATTATGGTTTCTACCATACATGCACGTATAGTACACAATTGCGCATGATCCTACTGTTGAACGATGCGTGGGACAAGTAGCGATCCAATAGTGGTACGTGGCCTAGACAAAACTGAGTATCAGTGAGAAGCCATGTGGTGCTACAGTATGAAAGGAAGGACTCAGCAGCAGTTTGCAGTGCCGGAAAGTCCTGTACCTCCTTCTTTCCTTCTTGCACTGCTCCATGGATATTTAGTATCTCCTTCAACTTGAAGGCTTGCGACCCCAACGTTTTGGAATAATGGGCATTCAACGAAAATATGGTGAGGGCTTTCAATAGCTCAGCACCCAAGACGACTGTATTCCTGGGCCAGCATTCTCTTCTGCCAGTGGTATAGCCCGTTCGTAGTCGCTAACTGGCCCTAGAGCTGGACTGCTGCAGAGACCGCGGTGTGTATAGAGGAACCTGGGTGGTGGGCGTTGATCGTTATTCGTTAGTTGGCAAGGTAATCTACCCTTTTTGTCAAAATCCTGGGGACCGTAGAAAGATGGAACGTGCGTTGGGCTTGTTGAGTCTATGCGAACCCAGTTGGATAATGATGTAGCTTCTGATTGTATACAAGTGATTTGAGATATTTTACGAAGAAGATTGAAGAAAGAAAGAGGAGAGAATAAAGTGAAGGGCATATTGACGCCTAAACGTCTCCATCGACTCGTGCTCGTCATGAGCATCGGCATGATAGGATGTTTTGCGATGTAACTATGCCTGGATATTTTGAGGAAGAGTCGGCTAGAACCCGCTCTCTGCAGCGGGATCCCGGACTTGAACGACCACAGCAGATAAGGCTACGTGCCTCCCTTGATGGCTGACTTGAGATAACGTCCAAGGGGGACGTTTGGAGGAGTCAAGGAAATCGTGGACAATGGTCGAGTTCACCCCAACCCCGCACACACACAGCAAGAATATCTCGCGAAGAATGCAATCAGAAAAGGATCGAATAGGACGCAGAGCAGATTGAACACCGTTCAGGTTTTGTGTCACTCCATGAGTCCGCTGGAGTTCGAGCCCCCCCCCAGAGCGTCTCCTGCACTTGAGCGATATCCTAGTCGAGATCTGAGATTTGGGACGCCCATGCGGAGGCAATTGTGATGAGTTCTACACGCTCTACGTCCTAAGGTGACTTGCTGGACCATAGAAGCCTCAATAGTGCAGCCGATGGAAGCTCCCGCTCGCAAAGATACAGAACCACAGGTAGGAAAAGCCGACGTCCAGTGACTCGGACGCGTCAGAGCGTTGCCTTGGATAACTTCGTCCATCTAGTAGAGATTCACAGTACTTCAACATTGCATCCGCCGAGCGAATGAGATAGTATACCTGTCATAGAACTAATCGCCATTACTATGGTCGTTAAACGTGCTTCGGTTGGAATCCGAGGCTGTAGAACAAGAGAATCAATCCTGAGCCAGACTTGGGGGAACAGCCGAAAAAAATCCGTACCTGAGAAGAATCCCGATTATACGATATGCAAATACCGATAACGATACACACAAACCACCATCACCAACCTTCAATCACATGTCGTTCGAAGATTCAAGCTCAGGAAAAACAGCAATAAAGGTTGGTGGGGTTCATTAAATTTATCGGGTTACTTCTGGAGTTGACAAACGGATGGAACGCAGAGATGTGCTGCCGGTCGACGACTTGAGTTGAGCAGATGATGACGGTTGATGTTTGAGCGTTCAAAGTGTCACGAATCACATGCGCGATGACAGACGCGCTTGTGACGTCCTTATGTGGCTGTGCATTCGGCCGTTGCTTGGTCGTTGCAATGCTTACTATGCGATGGGACACCTCAATATCCTATGCTATGGCCTCATACAACGCTATACCAAAACGCGTTCCCCACTGGACTGTCTCTCAAATTGAATCAGGCTGCGTCGATCATGCTTGAGTATTTCCCTCTTCCATTAGTGAAGGTTCCCTCCTCGCCCCGTCCCTCCAACCCTTCCACCAAGCGACCTACACCTCCACACCAAATACTCCGAGTACTTCAAACGCGACGTGTACAGTAGCTTGGAAATGTTCGCTGCCTGCTGCTGCTCCCATCCCCGTGGCAGTAGAGCAGGTCCTCCATTATACGTCGTGTCATCTCCTCGGCTCGCTTATCATTGTCAAGAGCTATCGGGACCTTGTACTCTGACGAACATCACACACAAAGGATGTCGCCATGCTTCAAACACGACGTGTACAGTAGCTTGGAAATGTTCGCTGCCTGCTGCTGCTCCCAGCCCCGTAGCAGTAGAGCAGGTCCTCCATTATACGTCACGTCGTCTCCTCAGCTCGCTTATCGGTTGTCAAGAGCTAACAGGACCTCGTACTCGGACGAACATCACACGCAAAGGACGTCGCCAAGTTCAGGCAGGAACATCTAGTAATACATACCACGACAAGGCGGCGACGGCAACGTTGGATATCTCACTCCCCATGGTGGATATAGGCAAGGCTCACAGCAGTTAGAGAAGGCAATTATGCTTTCAGAAAGAAGTCTACAATACTCGTCTTCACATTGTCATACTCTCCACTCAGCTGGACCAAATCATCCTATCATCATATTGCGGGTATGGCTGTCGAGAATGAACCGGACGCAATTATTCGATTGGGAACAGAAGATAGGACAACGGGGAAGGTTCATATATACATCAGCGGGGAAGCAAACTCCGTATCTGGTTGTAACTATCACATCAGTATTACTATTCATCGTGTCCTTGTTGATTGATCAAAGCGGCGACCGCAAAGAACAGAATCTGAGGACCACAAGAATCGTCGTTCACATAGTCTGTTCTTCGTGATACTGTGGCGGTAGTTCGTCGTCCACGACATTCCATCGGCCCGACTGCAGTCGTTCACTGAGCAACCTCAGAAGATCATGCGTAGGCATGCCCTCTGTTCTCTCAGTGTGCAGCGGATTTGGGGGACTTGCGGAAGAAGTCATCGCCTCATTATGTACATCCGCCCCTCTGCCCGTGGCTACCCCCGGAGGTGAAGAGGGCTCCCCTCTATTTTCTGCCAAGGAGAATCCAGGATCGTGATGTTTCGCCTGGTTTATATGATGTTCTCCTAATATCTCCGGAGAAACTGGAACTGATGTATCCATGAATGGGGTAAGCATTCGCGAGAAAGAGCTGTCTACAGCGAAATGCCTCTCCCTGCTTCGACGATGCTTCCTGCGCAGGAGAAGGGTGCCCACGATTATAATCGCAATAACCGCCAGTCCAGCTACGACACCTCCGACTATCGTTACAGTCGGGCTCTTCTTTTTTGGTAACGGAGATGTGTCAGTGCTCCCAGTTGCGCTAGGGATAACATTGGAAGTAGCACTCGATTTCGACGATGGCTGGTCGTCTACAAGCTGTATTCCACTGAGCAATGCGCTTATCGCTGTAGTCTGGTTATCGCTGGAGAACGAGGTGCTTGGCGGCCCTGTCCAGGGCCCATAAATGTTGCTCCCACCTGAGGTGGCAAGATCGATGACAGCATTATACTTCGCCAAAGTAAAATAAGCTATGTCAATCAAGAGGATAGATTCTGTGGGGGCTAACCTGCACACCGATGTATTCTTTGGTATATTCGCGAAGATCAGGTAATGTTGTGTTGCGCTCATATAAGGTTGCCAGTGCTTGTACAATGAAACATCCTCCAGGGTATGAAGGCAAACCTGCAAACAAGAATGATGATCTTTTGAGATGCAGTCATGAAAAAACATACTATCAATGATTCCGTTTGAGTCTTCCCACTGTGCATCGGTTGTAACGGCAACAACAGTACTGCGCAATCTATCAGAAAGTGATTGTTTAATATGTGGACAACCGCGATATTTCACCACTGCATACAAGGTTTCAGTTGACACGTTGCGGGTAATATTAGCTAGGACGACCAATCCTTCAATGAAGATGCCGGAACCATAGGGGATATCCCCTGTTAGTGGGGAGCAAGTTACGTTTGCTGACATAGAATACCATATGATATTACTAGATGGATTGAGAAGATGTGACTGGATGAAGTTTGATGACTCGATGGCGGCATCGAGATATGTTTGATTGGATGTTGCTTCTGCCAAAAGAGCTGAAACACTTTGTCGTGCACAGATAAGTGATCACCCCATGTTAGAAAAGCTTATGGTACTCACACGAGAAAAAAGCTGGTTGTACAGAGTAAACCATGAATTTGAAAGAAGAAAGAAAAAGAAAAAAGGAACGCAAA